AAAGAGATACATTTCATGAGAGGGTAAATGCTATATGCCAAGACAGTAACAGCCACTGAAGAGAATTTTGTGTAGATAAAATGACTGTAGCATTTGACAAGCATAACATGCAGTGATTTTAATTCAGGCAAGAAACTAGAGGTTGAGAAAACCAAAGACTTAACTTAGCCTTTGAAATAACATAAAAAAGAATAAAACATTTAGCATTAGCTATAACCTTGAAAAGAATGAAAGATACTGGTATGGCATATTACATTTTAGAAGCACTGTACAAATATTTAATATTAATTCTCAAAACTCTACAATATATATATATATAATTTACTTACTCTACATTCTTTGCCCATTCTGGAGTTTTATTCATTGTCATAAATCCACAGTTGGTTAAAATAGTACACATAATAAGTATGCTGAATAATGTAGACACTAGTCAAGGAATAGACAGTAATAACTTCTTACACTGGATTTACATCACAGGCAATTAGGTGGTTTCCTAGGCTATGGCATCTTAATGATGCATATGATGCTATTATGAAATTATTTAATTTGCAACTGTCAAAATAAATTTTAAAATATTAGAACAGTGGCTGCTGATGCTATGCAAATTCTGTATATTAGAAATATACAACATGGATCTCTTTTTTCCACCTTATTTAATCAGTGATAATTAAGATGAGCAATTTAGCTCAGATTTTGTGAGAAAAAATTAACAGGAAAAACATATTGAAATATTAAAACAAGCAACCAATTGTTGTTAAACATTAAAAACAGACCAGTAATATTTTTAGCCAGGCCAACTGAAAAGGATATGAATGAACCAAAATCTTTATAGACAGTTTTCTAAGAGAACTGAAAGGCGATAAAATGTACAAGGCAGGCGTGGCACTAAATCGGAAGATTGTCTTCCCTTTATTCAATACTATAAAAGTCTGGGGAAAAAAAACAAAAAGAACACAAGAGATTCAGAATTTAGATATTATAAATACATGCCAGTAATCAAGCACTGCTGTAAATAAAGAGACTAAGCCTGTAGCTGTTATTCATATTAGTGGCTACACTTATTTCCAGTAGCTTTAATCATGGAAGTACACAAACAAGCATTAGGTCCTAAATTTCTACAGGAACAATGAAGAATACTTTCATTCACACCCCTCAAGATATATTTACTTCAATGCTTTTCAGATATATAGCAGAACCGTCCAAATTAAAGCCAAGTATATCACAGGAATGCATGTACACACACAGAAGAATATAATACAAGAAGATTACAGGACAAATATGCCATTATTCCAAAAACTTTAGTGGGGGTCAATTTGAATATGCAAATGAGCTGATTTTACATCTAATTTAGAGTTCTAGACACGGGTCACTTGCATAAACACAAACATTATCTGAAATTAGGTTCCTATTAATCATTTCAAATGACAGAAGTAGATAGGAGAAGATTTTAAAGGACATGTTGTCTCACCCACGACACAATCTATCTATCATTAGCACTAGTAATACAAACCTTTCTGAACAGGTAAACACTTTCAAAAAAGTGTCAAACAATCATAATTAAATTGTAGCGTTTTGTAATTATTCTCCTTCTTAAGAGTTCTAGAATTCGGTTACCACTGTTCAATTTAGAAATTACTTATTTCTGGCTCCTGTTATTTTCTGAATAATTACAGCCAGCAGTCCATTTAAACCTTATAGTACAGATATAGGAACCACATACTGTGAGGTAAAGGGGTTCACTAAGATGAGGTTTTTCTCCTCATTCTACAAAGGGGGAAAAGTTCTTTGTCTTGGATTTAAGTACAAGGTGGCAGGGGTGCAGTTGGGGGTGGGGGAAGGTAGAGGGGAACACAGATGGCTGCTACAGCTCTGACTTTGGCTCCAAACCAAAGCTGGAGCCAGAGCAGTGCCTGACAGCAAGCAGCAGGGAAGGGGAGAGGTTGCAGGGACAAGTGGGGAGGGCTGTAGGATGGGCTAGAAGCTGCAGACACTGCTGGGTGAAGTAGGCTGTAGGAGGGACAAGTAGTAAGGGGGTGGGAGGGCCTGACCCCTGCTGATGCTTTTCCTGCTACAGCAGTGGGAAGGGTGAATTTAAAATGACCCTCCAAAAATAAGATTCTAGACATGGAAAATTATAATAAATTTGTAAATTTTCCAAATATAAATCTACTATTTTGGGGTCATCTTAAATTCTAAGTCATCCTGGATTTGGATGAATATGGTACTTGCCAATTGCTCTACAATAACAGCCTTTTTACCCTGCAATGATAAAAAGCTAAACCAAAGTTGCAAACCCTGCAAAGAAAGAGGGATAATTTACCCCCATTTAGATATACTTTCCATTTGGTAATGGCATTAAATAATTCTGGAGCAACTGATGCATAAAAAATCTTTACATCATAATTCATGTCTCCAGGCCTTCTAAATTCAAAGACCACTTATTATGGTTAATACAGCCTTTGTCTTTCAATATCCTGTATTAGAAACTTTGCTTCAATTTCTATCTTGATAGGAAAAAATAAATCTGCCTCTAAAAATAACATGTCCTTAAAGTCCCTTCACTACTTATTCCTTTATTGCGCAATACTTAACTATACTGGATTTTCTACCGTTACTTATTTAAATAAGCACTTTCTTATTTAGTTTTCATTTAATTTGCCATTTAGTTTTAGTTTATTATTTGTTTAGTTTTCATTTTGTGGACAGTGATAATATGCTTTAGCTGTATTTCTCTTTTCTCCTTTCTTAATTTCTCAGCTTTCTTTCATAACCAGCATAAACTTTATTTTGCATTCTCTCATGACTAGTTCTTCTTCATCCATTCTTCTCTTGCTAATATTATTTATAATACAAGAAAATCCATTTCTGAGAAAATATATTTTTTAATTTTTAAACTTTCCTCTCAACAGGCAATACAGCAAGCCCTTCAAGTAGGGTTCATAAGGAAGGTATCATTATGTAAACTATAGTGAGAATTTACAGTCCCTTAGGGAGTCCACAGTAACTTGCTCATCAGTGAAAGTTGGTTACACTATCTCATATACCATACATATGTGACAGCTTACTATACCATACATGCATGAAGGTGAAAAAAACTGGTCAAAAGATAACAGGCAGATTCCTAATAAAAATAACATATTTCTAGTAGGAAGAGTGAAGAGCTTCAAAAAAAGTCCTTTCTCGGTAACATACCCATCGTTCAGGACATCTGACTTAGATTCTTTCATCAACCTGCAGCCTTCACATCACTGAAATCCAAGTTACTAAATACCTGAATGATTACAAGAACCACCCACTTCCGGAAGGACTTGAAGCCTGTGTCCCTGAGTCGTCAGACTCAGTCCCAGTCCCAGTCGGCTCTCTACAGGTATAACCTTCATAAAAAATTCATGTCAGAAATCACACCTTCTGAAATTCTTATCTAAAATAAGCATTGCCTTCCATCCTGGAAAAAGCTCTATTTGGTTCAAAAAGTATCAGACTAGTTGTTTAGTAATGCAGGCCATGTAAAGCAACACACCAACACTCCACTCTTCATAGTTGTTCTCCATATTTAAGAATTCAATTCAAACTGCCCCATAGCGCATGCCCAAAAGAAGCATCACATTAGTTTGATAAGGTTCGCCCAACATCTGCATAGATTGAACACTTTGGTGGGGCTTTTTGGCACTTTTATCTAGCAGCTGATTTAATCAACTTTTGATAAAAGCATGCCCAAACTCACGCACTTCCTCTTCCGGTAAAGCTCAGTGGGGAGGGTTCTGCATCTGTCAGTGCCCATGTATACCCAGCCACACTAAATTGCTTCAGTAGGACAGAAGAATTTGTGCAACCTCCTTCACTCAGACAATATGGCATCTTAGTCTGTTTGCCACATTAACTGGAGCCCGTTGATGTACATTACATATAACATGCCCTATTTAGGTACAGTACAAGTTCTCCCACAGAAAACTGAGAATTAAAATTAATTTGTTAAATCTCAGATTTAATTATCAGTTAGCAATGATGTTATCACTTTTTTAGAAAAAAAAAGCAAACATGCCAAATCTATGGTATAACTTCAATTTTAAAATTTATTTTCATCTGGCACTAGGGTTTATGTGGACAGCCGATGAGAAGAGCTGCTTTTGGTTCCTATTGTGGTAACTCTCAGATAGTCTCATAATTCTCATTCTCCTGTGCCCCCGCTCCCTCCCCAAATGAATACTTAAATATAAGAAGTTCAGGTGTATTCTGAACTTACAGCTGAATGGGAATAATACAAAAAGAAATGCTTCCCAAGCTTAAGCTAAAGCAAAGATGGTAAATAGCAACCCGTTCCATTTGTCTGTAATGCAAATATTCTTCTAACATACAATGTAATCCATTATGATTAGGGACCTACCGAATTCACAGCAGAAGTGGGGTGCGCTGTGGCTCCTTTAATTTTGCAGGTTTGCCCACGTGCCCTCCGCCACTGATTGAAGGCACCATGCTTGCAGCTTGTTCCTGATCAGCAGTGAAGTGAAAACTGTGGTTTTAAATATGACACCACTTTTGCCTCCTGCCACTGATTAGCTGAGGGGCCCGGTGGCCCCAGTACTTGCTGCTGGAGGCAAAAACCATGCCATATTTAAAACTGTGGTTTTTGCTTTTCTGCTAATCAGGAAGGAGCAGTGGGGCCCCTCTGCCAATCAACGGCAGGGGGAAGGGGGCGGAGAGGCCCACAGAGGGAACCTGAAAGATTAATGCTGCCGCACACCCCTCTTCGGCTGTGAATCTGGTAGGTCCCTAATTTTATAATGACCTAGTTCCCTGACCAAAAAGAACACAAGCAGTTATTTTACTAAGCTCAACCAACTACCATTTTCCTGCTGGTTCATGGCTCTGGTAGGTAAAGGAAATGGTCAAGTTGGCTAATCCTGCAAATAGACATTGCATTTATCCCAGGCCAAACCATTTTATCCCAGGACAAGGTGCAGTTGTACAGACGTCCATATCCATTGTCTTGGGATAAATCCTAATAAAGTTTCCCGGATAAGAGGTAGTAACAGTTTATGCTGGGATATTGCAAAGTACAGCTATACAATTATCCCTAGGACTGCATCATTAATATATGCTCTCCTCCTTTCAATCGAAAAACTTAGATTACATTAAATCCAACAGGGATGTGCAAACACTCACTTTTTTATTGATATAATATGGGTCAATGTCTTCCAGTGGTGTAGACACCATTCCTGGAGGTATGTCACCATAAATAAATGGCAGTGTTTTTCCTGCCTCCAAGTCCTTGTTGGGCTTGGAGCCATTTCCTTCATCAGCACCTTCATCTTTGGAGTCTCCTTCTGCCTTTTCTTCAGCAATACGTTTTTCAATAGCTGCAAGAGATTCTCTAGTGAAGTAGAAGAAGCTGTCAGGTCCTGGTGGTACCAGCATTGCCTGTGCCATCTTTTCATTCTGCAAATGTTAAGTCCTCATTAGCCTAAATTGTAAGAAGGTCCTAGAAGAACATAAGAAAACAGAAAGTCAGGAGAACAGGGAAATACAACAGCAACAAAACAAAGAAACAGTGTAGTTTAATGGTTTATTATATTTTATCAGCAACTTCAAAGTAAACAATCTAAAACATTAAGACTGAAATTTTCAAAGAGGTCCCAAGAGAATGGACAGCTTAATTACTATAGGTTTCTCTGAAGAATTGCTGCCAAAAAGAGTCACAATAGCAGTGGGACTTCTCTCCTGAGGAATGGGGGCTGCCAGCTCAGACAAAGTACGGAACCTGTTGCCAGCCTTGGCCATTTTCAAAGGGCCTAGCCTAAGCTGCAGAAGTAATGCTAAGCAAAAGCCCCAAAGCCTGTTTCTGAATAACTGCAGTGTGAACCTTTGCAGATGACAATTAACTTGGTCAGCAAGTAAAGGAAACCGTCACACACAACTGAAAAAAAAACAAGGCCTAAAAGGAGATAATGGAACGCCGTATGTTAAATAATCCATATACCTTCTATCATTGCTATATCTTAAAGTAGTAGTAGTAGTGACTGATATAATAAAATGTATTCAATGTTATTTTGCTATAATAGATATGTTTTTGTTAAAATGCTTAGATAATTTGTAAAAACAAAAACAACCGTGTCAGAAAAGTCCATAAACTAAGGTGGTGAAGAAACAGAAACAGCATTCCACAATGGGTAAGGAAAGGTGATAAGAAACCCTCCCCCTCTCCCATGGATATAAATCCCAACTAATTTACACTTTTGAAGTCTACAAGAGTTCTGGTTCAGTCCAGTTCCAAAAGTTTCAGTGAAACAAAGCAATTTAAATAAAACCAATTACAAATCCCTTATTACAGTGGTCTCCAACCTTTTTAAGCAGGAAATCACCTTTGGCATTTAAAAGCAACCCAAAATGTCATGTGCGCTGCCACTACCACCCCCTCCCGCCCAGCAGGTAAGTCTGTAGGATGGTAAGGTGGGGGGGAGCAGATTGAGGCAGAGAGAGAAAAAATTATATGGGGGCACACCTCCCCAGCAGGTAAGACCTACCCAGCCGGAGCCCCACTCAACTTACCCCTGCTCCTGCCTCTGCAGCCATGTCCCTCACCGCAGAGGCCTCCATCTAGCCCCTGCCCCTTCCCTCCCCCACCAGAATGACCTGCTGGGCTGGGGCACACGCGTGCACATACACGGGCACTACGCCTCCCACTCCAGCCTCAGATCAACTCTGGGAGGCTCCAAGATCTACCAGTGAATTGAGATCTACTGTTGATGACCACTGCTTTATTAGAATATTAAAACCAGCCGTCTATAAATATTGGGCATAGGCTGGAGGAAAATTTGGATAACTCAACAAATTCAAAAAGACCTGCTGCCAGTCTCTGCTGTGAAGATGACCTGCTGCATGACACCATCCTCCCACTTCTCAAATCTTCCCAGCCAGTACAGGTGAGAATCTATGTTGTGCTGTTGTGGGTAGCCAAATAAAATTTGGGATAAATATTTATTTTCATGTTGTAAGGTGCAAGCAAATAAAAGGTTGGGCTGTACTTTTATCAGTAGGCTATACATCAGGTTACCTATAAACTATGTAAAAGTTAGACTCTTGAAGCACGAAATTTATATCTCCCCCCTCCCCGCTGCAGCAGTGAGGCGAGGGGAGAAGCAGGCATGATGCGGGGCAGGACCGGGCCTGAGGGTGAAGAGAAGCTGACCCACCATGGCAGGGAGTAAAAGGGAGGGAGTAGTGGGCCTGGGCCAACCTGGCAGCAGCAGGGGAATGAGAGGAGCGGGCTCTATGCTGACACAGGGGAGGGTGGGGTGGTGGAGGAGAGGCCCAAGCCTGCTCCTCCCCTCCCCCCACCACTGCTGCATCAGGCCAGGCCAGGCCAGGCTGGGCCTGCTGATCCCACCCCTCACTGCCATGACAGGCCAGCCTCTCTCCCCCCCTCAGGCTCGCTCCTCCTCTTCCCCCTCCCACATCGGGCCTGGGCCCACGCCTCCCCTCCCTCCACCACTACCACCTAGCACTGCACTGGCTCAGGTCCACTCTTCCCCCCTCCGCTGCCACATTGGCCTGTGTCGGCCCTGCAGGCAGCGATGACGGAAGAGGAGGGGGGTGGGCCAAGGCCAGCACCAGTGGATTCACCCCCTGCTGCAGCCTCCCAACCCTTCTCCCCCCCCGGTGTCTGTCCCAGACCCCTTGCTAGTTTAAGATAAACCAAATTCCCCCAGCATCCTGGCATGCTTTCTGGGCTGGGCAGGGCGAGGCTCTTCCCTCTGCTCCATGGCTGGAGCTCTAGCAGAGACTACAAGTACAGCAGTGTCTGCCTGGCTTCACCCTGCCCTACCCCCACCCCCTCACTGCTCAAGCAGGAATCCCCCATCCCTTCTCCCACAACACAAACCCTAGCCCCATGGACCCTAGGCATGTGGTATGCTATCTACTGCCAAGAGGTGTCTGTGTGTGTGTCTCTCTAATTTCACTGGGACAGCCAGGAAGAACAGTGACTTAGAGCTTTTTGGAGCTAATCAACAGGTTGGTTGGTAAGCTGTTTACGAAGAGTTTGAACTAATCAGGGAGGCTATTGTTTTGCTGATGGGGTGATAAACACTGTTATCAGCCCCCTGCTGGCTTGCTTGCCTGTCAGTTTGCTTCAGACAATATACAGAAGCAGGGAGAGAGATTGAAAAGGTCCATATCTTCAACAGATGCATGCACTGCACACCCCTGCCCTTGCTTCAGAGTGCTAGCAGAAGGCTGGGGGCTGGCAACACTGCCACCCTTTGAGCAGGGAAAAGCCTAGGATGGTGCAGGCAGAACTCCCTAATCAAAGCATCCTGCTGGGGCCTCACCATGCACCCACTCAGCTCAGCACTGTTCAAGGGAGGGGAGGGCTGCTTTAGCACCCCCCAGCTTCTAGCGTGAGCCACTGGAGGCATGTGCCTGAATTTCCTCAGTCAGAGAAAATGTCTGCTCAGTTTCCAACTGGTTCAGCCTAGCCAGGTTAGACTAACCTGCAAAGGTTGAATCAACTCAGGCTCAGGCTTTTTGAATGTCAGTCCCTAGCCTTTGGTCTATCACAGTTGGGGCCAACCTTTATGGCAGGTGTGCCACAAATTAATCTGACACTCTCCCTGAGTACCACTCCACTCCCCTTCCCCTGCCCAATATGTTACTCTGCTTTCTGCTTCTTTCCTTATGCTCCCTATCCCATCTGCTACTCTGCTTTCTGCTTCATGCCCCAGCAGCTAGTGTGCTGCTTGTTTCCCTTCCCCATCTGCCACATGCCACACATTAAAGCTACCTATACCACTTGTGGTACACATCACATCTGTTCCAGCATATTAGTTACCTATAGCGTACTCCCTTTAAAAGCATAGCTTCAGCACATTTAGCCAGGAGCATGCACTTTTCTGAACATGTTTCAATAATGTGAGGTGATGTTGTACCCGTGATAGTCCAGGAATTATGCAAGAGGCAAAGATTTTTGTGGATGATATATTTTATTGAACTAGCTGCATGGCTGGTATCCACTCAAGCACTTAAATGCAAAGCATTCTTCATCAGGGCAGATGAAAGAAGCTGGCACAGAGAAGATTAAGAACAGTGTGGATAACTGTGAAACTGGAGAAGAGGAATTCTAGAGGTAAGAGATAAACAATTAACAGAAGGAAAATAGTGTGATTTGTGGGAGATCAAGACTTTTCAAAAGTGAAGAAGGTCATTATCACCTATAGCATGAAGAAAGATTTTCAGAAATCAGGTAGATTATAGCATGCCACAGAGTCTGTATCAGTATTCAGTCTTTGGTTCCTAGTGTCCAGACAACTTACAGTTTTTGGTTTCTAGACTCACCTTTTGAAAGTGTTTTGTAAACTTACTTTGAGCACAAGGATAGTGGGATCAGAAAGAGAGTGGCTGTTCTGTGAAAAATGTGTTCCTACTGGTGTTTGTGCCTCTGTCCTTTATATACGTGGTTTCTGTCCAGTTTCACCCACCGAGTTACCATAAGGACATTTGTTGTACTGAATCAGATGTACCACATTTTGAGAAAGATGTGTAAGATCAACAGATTCTTATGGGTCCATTGCTAGTGATGAGTAGGTGTGGTGACAGTAGGGGCTGACAGGACTGTTATAGCAGTGGAAACGTGTTGACAGGTTTTGTATCAATTGTTAAAGGCAAGGTTTTGTCCCATTTGGCATCTGTTGATTAACAAAGAGTTTGCTTCTGATGATGAGTTGGGAAGCTGAGGGGGGTTGTTTGAAAGCCAGGAGTAGGGAGGGTGGGAATATCTCTCTCAAAGTCTGCTTTTACTGAGAGCAGGCTATAAATTAATTTGATGTAAAATTAAATTAATTACAGCCTGTGGCACAGGCTGTAAATTTAATTTGTAATCCAGGGGTGTCAAACCTGTGCTGAGCCCCACCATCTGGCTCCTGGTGATGTCCCTAGATCTTAGCAGACACACAGTGCATGGCATGCACCACACCAGCCACATGGGGAGGATGGCACCATCTCCAGCCAGTCCTGGCTCCATGTTGCATATGGCATCACCGAGAACTGCATGCAGCGTGGAACCCACAGGCAGGGACCATACACAGAAAGGTTCCCATAGCAGCTGCCACATGTAGTGCAATCTGGTCAGGGCAGGCACCATGTCCAGTGCCACACCAGCTCCAGCCAGTGCTACATGCCCCCAGCTGGATTGCACTGTACACAACACCCATTCCAGCCACTCTGGGATCCGTGCTGAATACAACACAGGTCCCAGACTGGCTGGAGTGAGAACTGTATCCAAGATACTTGGGAAAGGCAGAAGGGCGGGCAGGGTGTCCATGGGCTCAATCCATCCCTGTGGCACTCATCTGGCCCGCAAGATTAGATGAGATTGAAATCTTTGCTCCATTCAGTTCAATTGTGGGATGGTAAGTGACCACCAGAGGTATGCAGTTGCAAGAGGCTTTCTTTTTGTATTGTAGGAGGCATTCCATCAAGTTATAA